TGGCAATGAAAATGAAAGAGGTGTACTAAGTTTATCCTCCTGTGACTTAAATGAAATTAAATCAAAATGTCAACAAATGATGCCTTTACTACAACCAGTGCTATTTTTATTTTTGGAAAATCTCTTAAGAACCCAAGAGTTGAAGTCTTATGCTCAAATATATTTCTTTGGAAGATCATTTCTAGGAAATTTTATTATAAAATGTAGAGGAAATAATACAAATTGATGGCTCTATGAAAACCATAACAACACTTGCTAAGGAAAATGGAATTCACTGTTTTTACTAGAATGAACATTCCATGAAGGTGGTGACTGGTGCATTGCCTGTACCTAGAACATAGCCCAGCAGGACTTAGGCCAAAGTAAATATTTATTATACCAATGAACAAGTGGTGAATGAGAGCGATTATCCTTAATATCTAAGAAAATATATACAGGTATTTCCTTCAGTGATATACTTAATGAAGCTCTTGATAAAAGGAACAATTAAAGTCTATTATTCATTCAATCACCTACCTAGTCAAAAAGTATTTATTGAACACCTAGTACCTGATAGTTATTAAGGCTCTTGAGATAAACAGGAAGAAGAAAAACTTAGTTCCTCTTCTTAAAAGCTTATCTGTCTAGAGAAGGAGTCAGACAAAAACCTAGTATGAAAGCATATAAATTAATTTATAATTACAAGTTGTGATATAGGCCATGCTAGATACAAACAAGGCACAGTGAAAAAGAATTTTCCTGGGGGACTGGGAAGGCAGAGCAACTGTTTGAGTGTGAGGACTGTCAAGAATGAGCATATAGTAATAATGCTCTTCATTAGCAAAAACTAGAGAAACAGAAAAACCATGGGTAGGCCTCTGAATTCCACAGGGAACAGACTCTGTCTCCCTTCAGGCTCTCCCACTACCCAGCTACTCTCTCTGGCTTGCATCAGGAAGCTCTGGCCTGCATTCTAGTTCTTACCTTCCCCACAATTTACTAAGGATCCAGCCTTGGCCAAAGCTTTAATCTTTTCAAGTTTTCCTCTCCCCTAATTAATGAGAATGGCAATGAGAATTCTGCATCTGATTGCTGGAATGATCAAATAAGGCAGCATTCAGAATGTATGATGTAAGCAATGTAACTGTTTACTATGACTGAAATGCTGCTGCTGCTGCTGCTGCTGATGATGATGATGATGATGGAAGTGATGTAAATGAATACCCTTTGTGGAAACAATCTGAAATAAAATATTTTTAGTTAGCTTATAAGCTCCTCCTTTGCACGTTTTTAAATAGCTATAGCAATACCTAAGGTAGTGATTTTCAATCGGAAGCATCTGGAAATGTGCACAGGGGATAGAGGTTGTTAAAATTTTTGATGTCACGTGATTACTAAAATGTAGCAATGGCCAGGGATGCCTCAGGTTCTGTGATGTGTGGGCCATTCCCCATTACTAAAGAACTATCCAACCCAAAATGCCAATAGTGCCCTGGTGAGAATACTCAACTGCTGAATATACACTGCTGAATACTCAACAGAGAAAAAGTATTCACTAAATAGTTGCTAAATAAACGAAAGCTACATATAATATTTCCTTTCAGAGCACAGTAGACAGTCAGTCCCTTGAAATCAAGGAATGTAGCTCATTCATCTTCATTTTCCCAGGTCTCCAACCCTGAACCTGACACATAACAAGGAGTTAAGGATTATCTCAAACACTCACTCAACAAATCAAAACAATCTGTTAAACTGCAAGAAATTCTATTTGACATTGGTAAGTTATAACAATAATGCTGACGATGGTCTCTTCAAGTATAAGAATAATATTGGAAAAACAATACAAAAACCTAGTGGTCCTAGGGAAATAAACACTCCAGGGAAAAAAATTCTTCCATCATCAGATGATTAATTTCAATTTTGAAACACCATCATCCAAAGAATAAAGTCAGAAAGAGCAGTGCTTTATAAAGATTTATATACTTTACAGAGGTAACTTAACCCAAGGACATACTTCTCCTTTGGATATCAGTTTAAAGGTAGGCAGGTCAAAATTAAGCTACTTAGATAGCATCATATTTCTTTTGAGGAAAAAAAGCACCAGAACAGTATACAGAATGTATTACATTGCATATTTTTCTGTTTCAAAAGAACAAAAGTAGTATTCTCAGACTGATATAATGGGAGCCAAGTAAGTATTTAAAATAGCAAAAAGTTTCAATGCAACTGAATGAAGATATGGAAATAGGGGAAAGAAAAAATTAGGAGGCATTTTAAGGATGAGGTAATCTTTCCTAACCCTGAGAAAGAGCGAACTTTTCATCAAAGGTTAAGGATGGAAAAATGCACAGCAAGCCAATTACAGAGACATGGCAGAAATAGAGATAAAAATTAAGTCCACAGCATTAAAGAAAACATAATTATGTAACAATGGAAGAATTTTTCAGATCTTAAAAAGGTTCCAGAATTGCAAATATATTTTTAACTATTTCTCCTTAGCATAGAAGTGCTTTTTTAAAATTGAAAATTCATTTGCAAGGATCCAAGAAGAAATGACCGTTGGAAAGACAAAAAAATATAACAATTTTTACAATAGAAGCTTTTCATGTCGCAGAACAGACAAACACTGCTAGGTCCTTAAAAATAAATTATCAATACCAATATAACCAGAAATTGCATTATAGCAGCTTTGTATAAAGTGGAATATAAAAGAAAAAAATTCCTAGAGGAGAGGTAGCACATAAGCAAATAAACAAGCTAAGAACTGTCATTCAAAGTAATGTCAAATTTTTAATACTGTCAGAAAGCCTAATTTGCTTCTTTAAAGAAGTTAAATACATCATCTAACAATGTGGACCCCTAATAATCTCCATTTATTATGACCAGTTTGCCTGAACAAAGTGTTAACATGGAAGCTAATATTAACACATTTTGTTCTTTGTTATATACATTAGAAAAAAAATCTTATAACTTATTGGCTGTTTGAATGAATTTTTAGAAATTTATAGTAGGCCTATCGTGATGTTGAGCATATAATGAATTTTATATTCCTTAATGTGTTATATTTTGTCAAAAGGAAGAGAGGGAGTGTCACAACTAGACAAGAGCCACAATATTCCTTCAGGATGAGCACCTAGGTTCTGGTACATAGTAAGTCGGATGCAATGGTTTAAATCCTCTTTCCTTTCCAGCTTTACTTAATATTCTTAAGTGTACTGGATGAAGAGGGCTCCTACTAAAGTTCGCAAGTATATACAGTTTATTTCCAGTTTACAAGTCTCGGCATGCATAACATTCCATGCAAAGGACACATGACAAGCCTAGAGCAACTGATTACATCTAGGCTTGTACATTTATAAAGAAGTAAAATAAACTGTCAACATGGCCAAATATAGTTGTTGACTGTTGCTCATTTATAAGCTTAACTAGGCTTACTCTGACCTCGGCTTTAGTGTTCTTAGTTCTTTAACTTAAAAAATAAAATAGCTATTCAAAAAGGAACTATACAGAAGTTGAGGCCTTTCTGCTTTCTTTCATCATGTACATACACAAACTCAGTTTTAATAAAAAAAAAAAAAGACATCTAGAACTCCATTTTGTAAGCACTTACTGAAAAAAGAACTCTGTTGTACTACCTGACAAAATACAGCCTCCCTTAAAACTCTTATAATTATTGTAAACATGACAGACCAGAATAAAGCTTCACTTATTTTAAGTTTCTCTCTTAAATGGAAAATGACCTCACCTCCACCCAACGTAGTTTATTTTTAATAACTGCTTCATGTCTACAAATTTCTTTAATAATTTCATTGATTTATTATGATACCAAAGGCATTTACTCTGAGATTTAAAATATCTCCTTTGTGACCAAAATGCATGTTTGAAGGGGTAATGTGCATTCAGTTCTTCAAACAATGTAATCTACTGAGTGACATAACTTGCCCCTGATTTCTCACATAAAGTGCTCCATAAGCATCTGCTCACAATCTAAACTGCAAGGTTCAAATTTAGCCATATAAAAGAAAGATCCAATTCTGTGTCTGTGTCTTCAACAAAAATTAATTATCAAATAGTAGTGATCAAGTATATATATAGCTGAAACCACAAGCTAAGGAGATTTGGTCTCAGTGATCATTTCTCCATTCATTTTCTCTGCAAGCCCACCACTATGGTTTCTCAAACGTATGCAGACATCTGCTCACTGTCTACTTCAAATCTTTCAAATGATCACTTCCTTTCTATTATAAGTTAATTTTAATCCACGAAGAACAATCCCTTGCCTGCTCCTAACTCAAAACTATATTTTCATATCTCCTTCGAGCAAAGGCATTATCCACGAGTCACCTTCTATTGTTCAAAAGGGGCAATGTATTAATGTTCTTTTCTTTATGACACTAGCACAATTAAGTTATGATATCGACCCAGAAAGTCCTACTTCTAAAAATTACAACAAATATTAACATTTATTTAAAATCGTGTTTTAAAACTTGAAAGGCACTCATATTTGTTTTATTATTCACAGTGACATCTCGGAGTCTGCAAAATGAAGACTAACATATTTTATACAAACTGATCTGCCTTCATCGTGCTGCAATTATTCACTCAACAAATACAATGCCTAGCTCACGCTAGGTATTTATATAGCACGTCATTGAATGACCGCCCTTTCTCCTCTACCAACACACCTTAAGAAAGGCGCGCGATTT